ACAAAATAGCATATGAAATTACGTAAGAGTTTTAAGTAGTTAGAAAAAAGAAGCGAACAAGCGTAAGTTAAGTCAAATCAACATAATTGTTACCATGACAGTAGAAGTGACTGAATAGTTTTCTTTTGTATGCATAGTTCTGGTTCTTCCAACTGAATGACTTGGGCTTCTGAAATGCAAAGAAGACGGAAACGTATTGTCTTCGGAAGTTTGTTCTTCCCTTTGTACATTACTTTGAAAGAGGTGATTGTTGAGATGGAATGACCAGTAGTGATGAGATGTTCAATTATTGCACCCCTTACTATTCAGTCTTCAGTCAAAGAGACAACACATTTCAACACAGCACAATCAGTCAACAGAAAATTCAGATCAAATTTAACAAGTTATATTATGATTATTTTTTTTTTGCCTTGTTAAAACTAACTCTCTTATTTTGTTATTCAGTCGACTTAAGTGTGTATTTTCATCGATTAAGCTGGTTTATTTTATTCGAACGAGAGAGAGGATAAAGTCCATGTTTCATGTGGACTGATATGCTTAAAAATGCTGTAATTACACTTGGTAGTATCTGAACTGTTATATGTTTATGCATGTTTCTGTGCGTTGGTGTAACTTCAAGTGTTAAAGTCTTAAAAATTATCTCAACTACAGTATATAGTATACATAATCTTAATTTGTATTCGAACTTTGATTCATAGAAATAGTACTCCTAATACAAAATAATATTTTAAAAGTTTAAAATTTACCATCGATTTTATTTTATTATTTCAAATGAAGTAGATTGGATTCTACAAATGTTTCTTCTTAATTCTTAAACATCTTTTGTAGAAAGTCTTTATGCCTATGAAGTCTCAAATGTATCATCTAGATCTATCGATTAGTCAATACTATACAAAAAGTGACACAGAGGTGGAATTCATGTTTTCATTTTATTTTCACTTTGTTAACTCATGGAGGTGAACATAAGGCTTCAAAGCTGAATCTCAAAGTTTCAGTAGTAGTGGTATTGTCTTCTCACAGAATGAACTTGTCAACCTCACGCCTAATCACTCCTCTTTAACTGGAGCATTAGCCACTAGTAAGCTCGAATAGGTTCAGGAGTGCTCCTATTGGGAACCGAACCCCGGTTCATGTGTGTAATTGGTGAGTTTTCAAGTATTGGTTTTGTAGGGATTTTTGTTTAATTGGTTGTAGGGTCTCATCATGAGCTGACATCAGTTAGAGAACCATTAGAAAACCAACACTGGAGTACTGGACAGCTGTTTCGTCCTAGTTTGGAACTTTTCATCAGTACGCGCCAAGCACAACGATTCGAACTCAGAACCTCCTGGTTAGGAGGCTAGTCAGCTCGTAGACCGTTGCGCCACTGGAACGCGATCAAATGGACCATGAATTCTAACCATATAGCAGGTTTGCGATGGCTCTCTAACTGATGTGAGCTCATGATGAAATCCTCGAACCAATCAAACAAAAATCCCTACAAAACCAACCCTTGAAAACTGACCTGATGTTCGCTAGCGACTGGGTCTATTCAGGCAATGACCTAGGGTTGTAATGGGGAGGCGTAAACAACAAGTGAAAGGTGAGGCAGTAACTCATCGAAAAAAACATTGCGAAGTGGTCGTGCCAAATAATGAATTGGTAGAGGTCGGAATTCATGGTTTGGCTATTGGATTGGGTCCCAGTGGCTGCTGAATTGTCTTCGAGCTGGCTCAGCTTGTAAACAGAAGGTCGTGAGTTCGAATTCTGTTGAGGATGAGTGCGTACTGCTGAAGAGTTCCAAACTAGGCTGGCGAAACAGCTGTCCAGTACTCCAATGTTGGTTTTCCAATGGTCCTCTAAATGATGTCAGCTCATGACGAAATCCTCCAATTGTTTGGTGAGTATCTCAACAATTACACTACTGACCCATGTTGTTCGTCCTTAGATAATAGACCCAGCTGACTTTTTAAACTTATTTGTGATGAACAGTTGAGCTTCTTACCTCGAATTGAAGAGCATACATATATTTGTCTATACATTCATTTTGGTAGGTGTGAAAACAAACTGACACTGTATCACGAATTGACTGAATTCAGAATTCATGAGTCATTCTATCGCGCTTTAGTGGCTGAATGGTCAGCAAATCCGCCTTGCAACTTGAAAGCCCTCAGTTCAATCCTCCGTGAGGTCACGGTGGGTACTGCTGAAAAGTGATGGACAAAGGCAAAAACATCTGTTAAATATTCCTTGGTCTATAGTGGTTCTGTGACTGAGGTCAGCCCATGACCAGTCTTGATATCCGAGATTGGTATTGTGTCATTCCCATTACACATGTTTGATGCTGATTTGATGAATTAAGTCTCGGTGGCTGTTTCTTGTCTCTGTCTAACTATATTAACTGTGAGAAAGTGTATAAGAGAAGCGCAGGAAAGAGAAGAACTGTGTCAACAAGTTCGAAACCACACAACAATGGACGGTCGTTTCGTCGTAGTTAATGCGTATTCAGCAGTGTCTCCCCCACCCCATCGCATCACGCATCAGACCCATAACCTAAAAGATATGCAAGGAACCCATTGACCTTATGACCTCTAGGTTGAAATCCGGTTCCCCCTGAATTCTGATTTCTGGCGATTCTTGTCACTCAGTTCATAAAAGGTAATCGATTCTGCAATCATCTCCAATGCTAACAGACGCAATAAACGAGTATCTGTATTACTGATACCCTGCTTGACCAAGACCCATTGCTTTCTTGACTGCTCTTCATTTCAGAATCACACTATATACTGTTTGGTGATTAACGTTCTTAAATTTATTTGGTAAACGTCCAGTGTCAATCAGAGAAATAAGAAGAGGGGAGTATCCCTTTAATTCTAGTTCAAGACTATGAGTATTGCGCGGATGATGGAGTTCAGAACTCTCAGAGGTTAGGGCTAAAACTGTTGCTTTCCACTCACTGAATGATATGATTGATAACCTACAGTTAAATGTTTACAAGCTACGTAGGAAGGTGTAGACTTCCGGGTTGGGGTCCTCGGGACGGTAAAAGCCAGTGGCGGGAAACAATTGGTAATATGGCTCGAAATCGTTCTCAATGGCTGGCGCACAAGCATCCACTCCTTGTGACTTATGATTTCCAATGAAACTGTTTTGTTCTTCGTTATAACTATTCCTTTGTCTCACACCTGTGTTTACTGTCTCTATTATGCATTTCTTCCACCTTCTTGTTTTGCTTTGTGTGCTACAAGGAGGGAGTGTGGCGACTTGAACTGCCGCACGTATGTGTAAAATTCTATGTTGAAAACAGACAGACAGACAAATGTTTACAACATTCACTGGAGATCAGTCAGTAACCTCATCCATAATTAGTGATGCAAGGAAACTAATCCAAGTAGGCTGTGGATATGCTGAACTCCTTAAATATTGTCTGACTAACGTCCTTTGCAACAACCAGTTATCAAATCCAATAGGAAGAAGAAGCCTTAAAAAGTAGATAATGCAGGTAAATTGCCTAAGTTAGTTGGGAAAACGAAGCCTAAACGCTTGTAGTAAGTTAGGATAGAAGTTCAATAATTCCTAGGGAAAAATGTCTAGGTGCCCAGATAGAAAACTTCCCGAGGTAGTTCATTTGGGTTGAAGCTCCTATTACAATTGCCCAGCCTAAGCGTCATATAGACATCGAATCTGTGACTGTAGTCAAGTTTGGAAAAGCAGACTTTGGTGGAAAAACAAGGAAAGGAGGCAGAGTCTGGTGATATGATAGCAGTGATGCCCACGGATGATTAAACTTAGACATTATCTTTCAGTAAGATCTGGAATACAAGCATACCTACCGGCATCCAGCACTTCCTGTATTTTTTGACCTGAATTCAGGATTCGACTTTGTCAAGAGGAAGAAAAGTGTTGTGGCGAATTTTAACGGCGAACTAACTATTACACTTTGATTGAACTCAAGAATCTGTATACGATAATATGGAGGGCTGTCCCCTGAAGTCATGGCAACTACTCATGTAATCAGGGGTACTTATTGTCGCCATTCTTAGGAAATTACATTACAAATGCGGTAACGGATGTGATCTAAGTTGACTTTCATGTTTTATAAATTGAATTATGAACAAGGAGAAGTCTTGCTTACATTACTGTCCTCCTAAGCGGAAATCATAACTGGAATGCAGCTCTCCTCTGTCAAATTTATTGTTGTTGCACAGAACTCATCTTCACTGACTCCTAGTTAAAGGATAGGCGGTGTAATGTTTGCATAACTTGACTGCTTCACTTATATCAAAAATTGAATTATCTATAGTGGACTGATTACTGACAGAATCCAAATACAAACATAAAAAACTTGTTTGAAATTTCTTTGGTGCTGTTCATTAAGGGAGAGGTGAACTACGCAGTCCGACTTTACTGCTGTGAACCAGACTTGTTCAATCTATTGTCTCTTCAAGTGCAATGTGACCGGTATCAATGAGTTTGATTGGAGGAAAAGTCAGTCGACAGGATTGTGAAGCTCCATCAGTCGATCTCGCCAGGATAAGTGCTACGTTTACTCAACAGTCATCTTCTTCGGAGAACAATTCCAACCCACAGGGGTTTAGGTTAATTAAGAAACGTTGCGCATGGTGAAATGAATCAAATCAGGAAGATGTTACTGCTAGTATGAGTCACGAAGCGGAATACAGACTGCATGGTTAATATCTATGGGAGGCTTAGTATCAATGTTTAGAGACTAGTGTTGGCATGGATAAAATACATTCTCATTGACATAGATGTGTCCAATCCTCAATAATTCTTTCCTGACTATTTCATCTCTTACTCATAGTCGCCCATTATGGTCTTTTTCTACTCTTGTATCTAATTCTCAGAAGTGTGGCTGCCTTTGTTCAAAAGTTCTACGCCATTGAGTACCTAGTCAGTGAACATGGCAACGATGGTATCCCTTTTAAAACCTAATTGAATAGAGGATGGATTGTGTAATAACAAAAAGACCCGATACTGCCAGGAAATGGACACCCACTTGTCCAGTTATTGCTCGATTTCTATCAGAAGTAAAACACCAAAAGGCCAAAACGGAAAATTCTATCTTTTTTTAAAGTCCAAGTTACATTTCATAGACAAATTACAGTATTGGATAACTGGCATTCGATGCAACACCGCACATATTTCTCTTGTTTCTTCTCAATTTGAAGTAACCTTTTGATCCCCATCTAGCACTCCAACTATTCTTAATAAGCCAATAATCTTTGCCATGTTCTGTACCATAACCAACTAATAGCACACCATGATTAACTGCTGTTTGTGAACATTCTCTTGATTCATAAACTCCACTCCTAAAATAAAATAAAAGTGAATTCAACGACTACTAAATAATTTGATGCATAAGTAGTATAAGATACTGAAAAACAAAACTATTCTACGAGATCATTAGCATCACACAGACTCATATAACACTTACGAGTACATTAAAAGGTCATCCGTTGCATCGATAGCAATTGAAATTGGTCCATATTCATATAAAGCTCTCTGTAGTTGCTTTTCATTTCCAGACGGTAAGTCAACAAATTTCTTCACTTTCACAACTGACTTCCATTTACGATGGTGACATTTATTCTCCTGGAAGAAAACATAAATTGAAGTTTTATGAAGTGTATGAGAGGGGAGTTATTGTTAGGCGGACGCATTGAAAACATTCATGTGAGAGTGAAGGGGAATTAAAGTTTCACTCACCACTCCCTTATATTTGTAGTCTTTCTCTGACTCAATACCGTATTTCTCTGCATACAGAAAGGCTAGATCCATTAGACCACCATTACATCCTAGGTTCCCATAATCTCCACTACAATCAACCAATTGTTGTTCTGATAGGCTTGTCAACTTCTTATGCTTTTTAGTCAATTGACCTTCTATTGCTCCACAAGCTGAAAATGCCCAACATGATCCACAATGACCCTAGAAATAACATACATAATACACAGACTTACCTGATCTTTAACTGGTGTAACCACCCCATGATCTCGCCAATCCCATTTTGATGGTAATGGTTTATTTGAAAATTCCACTTCTTCTTTATCATTCCATAAAGGATTATTGCCAAGTGTTTTTGGAAACATTACCGCCTTAATTTCTTCCCATTCCCTATCACAGAATTCATTTAAACCCATTGTATATCCTTCAAGGCCTAAATCATGTCGTAAATTGTGCTGTTGAATTTTTGCAACACGTTTCATAAAACTCGTGCGACGTTTAATTTCCTCTTCAGAAGTTGAATAAACTTTGTTATATTTCTGTTTCCATTGTTGCCAAATTTCTTCCAGCTCTTTATCCAACTGTTGGCCAAGTGTTAAAGCAGTTAATAGACTGAGCAAAAGCACAACTCTCATTTCGCATATAGTAATGATTAGTCGAAATTTCAACCAATATACTTATATATATTTATATAAATATATATGAGTATTCGATAGAGTAATCCAGTTAGACCTTTGTCCATACAGTGATAAGTATGGGTCGATTTTAACGAGCAATTATTATTATTATTTTATCACATATAAGAAAAAATATCATGAAAAATTTGAGAATTAAATTGAAAAATAATTTCAAAAAGAAAGAAAAAAAAAAACAACTCAAGTTATTCCTCGCTTAACCTTTGTACCCGAAATTTGAAGTGTTGAATCACTGATGTGCATGCAATCAGCTCATATTCATACTTTTAAGTAGGTTTATTGTTTTTAGATTCGTTAATTCTTGAAAATTAACAACCAAGTCGACCAGAGAATTTACTGAAATTCATGCAGCATTCAATAACGTTTCTATGCTAGTTGGATATTTTTTTGCCAGAGGACACGGATGTTAAAGGCTGGGCGTGGAATCCAGGAGTTTCAGGTTGAGAGGACGACCTGTTGACCATTTATTGATCCATGAATTGTAACTTCTTTGACTTCATGTTATATTATTACTGCCAACCAATACTGTAGATGGGCCTTGATCCCAAACAACCATGACTTCCAACTGAAACTTTGAGATGGCCACTAATGCGCTGGAGATTTTTCGATCAATGATCCTCTGACCAACGTTGGTTAGTGACGAAATCTTTATTGAAATTAATCAAGATCCTTAGAGAAATTTACTATTTCAAATTTTGATGATTTATTCAATGGAGAAAAACAATAGATGCCCAGATGCTAATTCCAACTTGTTGACTAACGATAGCATGACTTTACCTGTGAATGCCAATGTAATCAGTTATTTCCTTAGTTCTAAGTGATACTTTTCATAATTTTTTTGTTTAATTCGAAAAATACTTTTCTTTTTATCTACGATAAGTTAGCCATTTCGGTACTACTACTGATTAGAATTTTTATAAGTAGTAAACGGTGTGTATGACGTCTTCTGCAAGAATGTTCAGTAGATGTAAGACGGATTCAGTCGCAGACAGAGGAGGAATGAAAGTTATTGAATTGAATTTTTGATTTTCCCGTCGATTGATTGGACCGAAGTGCTCGGTCTCAGGTTGATATGTCGGCTTCGGTCCAATCAATCGACGGGAAAATCAAAAATTCAATTCAATAATTAATATGACCCGTCGCACAAGAGGTGGCTCTCGTGGCCCAAGTGGTCTAGTGGATAACGCTTTGGCGTTTGAAACTATGGGCACTGGGTTCGAGCCTCGGTGGGAACATCATCACTCACTGAGAAATGCAGGTACATCCAGCTGACGAGTCCCAAATAGGACGAAATGCGCATCCTGGATTCCACTGCTAGCCACCATCCACCAATTGTAGAGGAATGAAAGTTGTCATAAAAACATGATAGGAGGGCAAATGAGGTAAAATACGAGGAACATGTGTACACGAAGATTTCAAATGTAAAGCTTTTGAATTTCACCATAAATGTACATCATTTAACCAGATAAAAAATTCTGCTTCCAAATACTATTGGCTCCTGTCGTTACACTTCCACTGTGTTTCCCAGAAACTGTTATTATTTTGAGTTGAATCCCTAACTGAAGCCAGTCAGAGAACCATCGAAAACTAAGGAGTACTGAACAGGAATTTCGTCCCTGTTTGAGATCCGTTGTAAGCTGCACCCACGACTCCAAGAGAAGTCGACCTCAGGTGACTTCATTGACTATTCATCCACTTGAACAGAGCCCAATAACCCATTGGTTCCTCCAGCTTCTGTCGATTCTTGGTGTTTAGTGGCACAACGAGCGAGTGCCATCCATCCTCACACCAGATCTAATGGTCACAAATGGTCATGATTTCTCACTGGAACTTTGAACAATATCATTCTGTAGTCATTGATTATTGGGTATTATGCCAGCACTTCTTGGTTATGCAACTGACATCAATTCAGAACTATTTATTTTCAACTAGGAAAGAGGATGGTACAATAATAACAAGGAGTGTATACAGAAAAACCGACACTGATAAGTGAGTATCCTAATCTTATGAGTTTTGTACTTTCTAAATATAAACTCAACTTATTAAATATTTTAGCCTATAGACGTAGAACAACCTGCCCTTATGACTGACTACCTTAATAAATAAACTCATGGTTTTTGAATAATCATTGAGTGAAAAAGGGTATCGTGGAAATTTTACCGATAAGAGTATGAATTTAGATCTAAAATAATTTTGAAGAAGACAATGTTCTTCTAAATTCATTTCCTTCATTATAACATCAGTGAAGTATCAACAAAGCGCCTAAAGAATGCAGTTAAGGCAGCATTTTGTGCAACAGAGGTAAACTGTCTCTTCTTTAACCACGCCAATTTTAAGTGCCAGAAATAAGGTTAAATTACCTAATTTCACTTCGTCAATGTGTAACTACCTACCAGTTTGACTGCCCCAGTGGAACTGGTTACGTTAAATAAACACACAGGCATGTTCATCATCAGGCTTACAAATATCATCTTGCATGGTTAAGCAAAAGACAAACATGATTTATTCATGGCTCTGTTTAGCATAACTTGTAGATAGTTGCTTATCTTACGCTGACTAATATCAGTTTCGCCTTACCATCACATCTTGTGCACATATCTTAAGCCACTCATAGGTGATAAACTTGTATATTCAGCAGAAATTCGTGCAGCCACCTTCCTTACTATTGCCGTCATTACATGAACGTAAAAGACTGGCAATTTACCCACTTTCAAATCCTTTCAAAAGTTATTATTGCCTTGACTATCGTTATTTCTGAGTACTTCATTCTTAACTGTCTATTACTACCCTTGCCTCATAACCTGAAATTCCTAAGCACGATCTCCGGTGTAATCGTGACTACCTATTGCCTAAACGTCCCAAATTAGGATGAAACAGCTGTTTGGTACTCCTGGTCTTCAGTAGTTCTGTAACTGAGATCAGTTCGTGATCAAACTTTAGACAAATCAAATCCCTACTAAGTGACTCTTAAATTTTACGTTATCAGTGTGAGCACTCATTTATATCTTTATTGCTCCTCTTATTTTTCCAACAATTAGACATAATGTAAACTACCTGATTAATGTTCGTTATTATTTCTAAGCTTTAACTATTGCATTAATTTTCTTGGTTCATTATCACCCCTCTGTGTAATTATTGTTAACATTTTAAATCAACAGTAGACTGGTAAATTTCTGCATTATATTAAGGCTATATATCTATGTATATTAGAGGAGAGCCATATAGTTGAGGATCTAACTGAAAGGTAAGTTTCCCTTCTGATCAATCCTTTTGTCTTCTAGAATCATTAATAATGATGCTCAAACTAGTGGATTCACATGATGAAGGACTCTTTACATCTTACCAACCTGTAAAAAAACCTACTTAATAGTGAAACTGTGATAACCCTGGATTGGTATATTGTTACCAGTACAATTGAGTATTGAATAGAGGTGAAACGTTGATCTGTTTAGCAGTAGAGTCTAGTAGATCAGGAAGCAGAACACTGGACTAGTAATTCATAGGCCGGTGGTTTGATTCCTGAAACAATCCTCAGTCTGACATTACTTTCAGTCATCACCTAATTTATCGAAAATAATCAATCTTGAAAACCAATACGATTACTTTCTGTCTGTTCTTTTCCAACGTGTTATATGCTTCTTGATATATTCTGCCTTGAGCAGTGCTGTATCAAATAATACCACACTGTATAAGTTTATTTGATGCAACAGACAATTAGTGATGTCAGCTCATGATGAATTCCTGTAACCAGTCAATCAAGTCCCTACAAACCAATACTTGAAAATCACTAAGACACTCGCCAGCTATTGGCCCTATTCAGGAAGGTAGTTATCTGGGTTCTGGTGGGAAGTTGTGATCAGCAGCGTGCAGCAGGTCAGGTGTGAGGACAAATACTCGACGAAGACATGGGCTAGCAGTCGCGCTATTTCTTGAATCGGCGGAAGTTGGAATTTGTGTGCTGGCCGCTGGATCATGTCCCAATAGCTTGATTGTCTACAAGCTCGACTTGTCACCAGTAGGTCGTTGGTCCAAACCCTAACGGTAGGTGCGCACTGATGAAGAGTCCCAAGTACCAGGACGAAACAGCTGTCCAGTACTCCCAAATTTTCCAAAGGTTTTCTAACCGATATTGGATCATGATTAAATCCTGTGACCATTTAGTGATACAGTTTTATTAACTGGAGTTATAAAATAGGCAAGGTGACCATGCTATGCTAGATTGAGAAATATAGTGAACCCAACATGATAAACTAGATATTAGCATAACATGGAGGACTGTCAATTCCCGATAATTACCCAAACATTGGGTCATCCTACCTAAAATCGACAAGCATAGGTATAGTTAAATGTCTATTCCATTGAGTCAGCAGCCTGAATAGCCAGTTGGAGGATTTAAATAATGAAATCAAACAGGTAAACGAACCATTGAAACCGAATAACTAACCACCAGATTCTCTTCAAAAGTGTACGACAACTCATACTACCATATGAAGAAAGAAAACCCTGCGCCTTTCATGGAATTCTTAATGAACGTGCAATTGGTGTGGTATTTAAACCAACTAACCAAAACAACTGTCTGTTTTACAATCCAATAGATCTAATTAATTCATGGATAATCCCTATCCAGGCATTAATGAAAACAAAATACGTAATACAACTAACTAAATATTACGAAATGACTGTGAGGATGATCACATAGGTCTTACTAATAGATTGGGATCAGTTCGGTTCGATAGAATGACTGATATCTCTAAGCAAACTAGAGGAAATCGTGACTATTACTACGTATTCACTTGCATGTAGTCACACAATAAGCTGGAATAGAGTAAATTTAATATTAATTAGGTGGAATATGAAACTAACCATCGAACCACTGTTCATCGAATCAACACCAAACACATGCAGTCGAAATGATGCAACTCCATTACAGAATATATGGGAAACTGCAGTTAAAAAGAAGGATGTATAACCATAGAAAGCCAAAAAGTTGTGAGATTAGATGTCGATATGATTACGAGCAACAAATTGTTCTAAGAACACTATCCAGTTATTAATTCTGTATTATAATTCCCTTAAGTTTTCGGTGGCATATAGGCCTTCAACAACACATCTGTATTCCACTCTGTCCACTGTAGTCTTTCTTCACCGGTTCAAT